TAAACTCAAGGTGATCAAGAGCAATAATTTGATCTTTCTTAAAGAATAAATACTGCTGTTCTTCACTGTTAATTCCAATTCAGTTCACGCCACAATAAATTTCAGTCAAGATTAGACAGGTGTGGTGATATACAAGCAATAGAAGCTTGCATTTAACCATACCAAAATATGAACAGAAACCAAAAAGATTGTATRACTAATAAAATGCTAGTCTAAAACATCTGGCTATTTACTCCAGAATATTGCATTGCTTGAATAAATTTGGTACTTTGTACTTCATGCCAACATGGTCGGTACCATTTCAAAATAATTCAAAATAAAATATTCCAGGGTACAATAATCAACCCAACTTCAGCTTCAGCAATTAAAGAACTCACAACCTCCTTAATAACCTATTCCCTGCAAGATAAAGCAATAAATTATTCAGTTCAGCCACTTAAAGCTGTTACCAAACGCCCACTAAGACTTATTAAGGTTCTCTTCTATAATAGTCATATAGCCATTTTGACAGCAAAGAGAGTTGTTATTCCGGTTATGGAACCTTAGGAATATTTCATTTTCTCATATCGAAGAGCGTTCATCCTCCACCTAATTGTGTTATGATTCTAAAAACAAGTCAATGGAAGTTCATCTCTGTCAACAACCCAACTACTAACTAATAATATATACTTGTCAAAATTGGTGGCCATGATCCTATAAGCAAATAGAATTTGTACCAGTCAAAATAAGACAGCCACAAAGATGCTAACCAGTATTCGATACAAGGTAGCAAGGCCAACTCTTCTATCGTAAGGTAAACGTATTTGGCCATGATCTTAAGAGCAAGATTTACAAAGGAATTAATTTTGTATTTCTCAAGATCTATTGACCACAGGGATGCTACCAATCCAAGGCCAACTCTAACAAAAACCACTCAACACACACCCAAGTGGTTACAAGATGGCGCCTTCTTCCAACAAATGAAATGCATAGGTATCTCTCTGGTTTCAAAGATCACCAGCTCTGAAGCAGATGGGTAACCAGAAAAAGCCCCGACTTTTGCGGTATTACATGCAATATCAAGCTACAGCATGCACATCCCGGATTCAAAGATGCCCTCCCCTTACCAAAAAAAACCAGAAAACTTATCTTCTATAACTTCTTCAATAGAAAAGATAAACTCTGACAAGCTCTAAGCAAAACACTTCAACTAAACAAGGTAACGAGTACCCAAAACTCAGATCAAATTTTTCTTATCCTCAAACGGTTGTTACAAGACGCCATTCTTTGAAGATACCAAACAAGAACTAGACAGAAAACAAACAGCCGATCGAGCAACAAACTAATCAATCTCCAAAGCAGTAAACTCTTGAGTTCAAACGATCAAATCCGTAGAAAATGATGAAGCAGGGGAGATTCAGATACAGATACCCTAAACTGAAAAGCAATTTCGGATCTAAGATTCCTTGTTTTACAGAGATAATTGCCGAGAGAAGCTTAGGTAATAAATGAAAATAGCACAAACAACAATCACTTATAAGTTTCTGTTAATACGAAAGCAGAAATCCCAGAAGAGAAGCGCTCTCTCACCGATTAACCTTCTCCTGAGTAAGAAGAAATTACCGAAACCTCCTGCGAAGATGAACGAGAGATTTGCGAATTCCGGAGAAATCGGGGGAGGGATTGTAAGATTATTTATAGTTTCTCACGAGCACTCCCGCGTACCAAACGCGTTTTTCAACGCGTCTACGTGTAAGAACGAAATGCTGCCATGGAATCTTAATCAAGAAGTAGGCAGTGGCTGTGGTGATTCCCATCAGGCGGTTGAAATGATCGTTGGTGGTGAAAGCGATAGACTGCGGTGGGTTTCCGTGTTTGGATTGAGATCGATGCCGATTTCTCGTAAATCGCGCCACATCATTGCCATGTCAGCGATTCCCACGACAGAGCTACGTCGGCGATTCCAAAATCGTATGTTATTTTGCTATTTGGGTGATGTTTGGCATCAAGCTGATTCTTTCCTTACCGAGTTTTGAAATCAATGATTTTTCAAAAAAAAGAATGGTAAATTTTGTTTTGAGAGCATTTCTGTCATATAAGCCGATTTTTGATAAATTGGCTTTGTCTATTTTGTTAGTTGTTATTGATGTTCAAGGGCCTATTATTTTTACATTGCAGTTGTTATTTAATGCCACATCAGCCATGTCATCCTTAAAAAATTGGAATCAGTTAAAAATCAAGAAATTACAGAAAAAAAAGGTAATTCCTAAAAAAAGGGACCAACTTTCAAGAATTTTTTTGACCGATTTTTTGAAAATCATCAAAATCAGCCAACCCACCAAAAATTTCAACGTTGATTCCTCCAATGCTGAAGTGGCTCCGTCATGGCATTGATTTTCAAGAAATCGGCAGATTAGTTGATTTCTAAGAAATCGAAAAATCCGTCAGAAATTTATTATTAAAATTGGACTGAAAAGAGGAATCACCAAGGTGATGTTTACTCCCCACACCTGATTTTTTGAAAATTGGTGATTACTAAAATCAGTGATTTGAAACAAATTGTTCCTTTTTTGTTTTTTGGTATCATTTCCTCTGTCATCCGATTTAGTGATTACCGCAAGGATGCCATTTCACCCAACAAAAAATTGGAATCAATTGAAAACTGGGGAATCACTGAAAGTGGTGATCTCTCACCCAGGCCGATTTTAGGGATTTATTTTTTTGCTGATTTTCATAAATTGGTATAATTGGCCAACCAAACAAAGAAAACATCACTGATTCTTCAAATTCTTATATGGATCTGACATAAATATGTCTTGTTCATAAAAAAATGAAAAGTTAATTTCATTTTGGAATGACAGTTTTGTAATTTTGTCAAACAATTTTTAGATTTGATAGATATAAACACAAATCTTAAGACTGAAGCCTACCTTTTTTATATTAAAATGTTCACATCCATTTCAGACATGCAAACTTTCTTTCTCACTTCGAATACAAATATATATTTTAGAATTCTTGATTATTGTCATTTTGAATACACAAATACATTGGTATCAAACACATGCAAAAATGAACCATAGTGCATGTATATATATGCATTGAACTGATGCTTGTACTCTTCTCAAACAGGGCTTAAAAAATTCAAGGGCCAGACTTAGCACTAGGGGTGTAGGTCCCAGCCTATTCACAAGCTATTCAAGCTCGGCTTGCTAAATATTCGAATTTAGCTCATAGTAATTGAGTTTGAGTTGAATACTTGGTTGAACTGTGTTTGAGCTTTGCAATAACTAGCTCAAGTGGCTTGCGAACCTAACCGAGCTGAAAATAAAATGTTACTTTTTAATATATTTGTATTTATGTTTTTTATATTAACTTATTTATAATATAAATAAATAAAATTATAATTACTTTTCTTAATATATTTTTTTATAACTTTTAACAATAATTTATTTATAATCAACTTGAATTGAGTTGAGCTCGAATAATTCGCAAGTATCGACTCAAGTCGAATTTAAGCCAAATGCATGAGCTCTACGTTTTTTAATCAAACTCGAGCTCAAACAGGTTGATATTCAGCTTGACTCGACTCAATTATACCCCTACTTAGCACCTATTATAAGAGTTATGATATGGCATAAGCCTAGGCTAGGTGGCTTTGGATCATATACAATATATTATATATGTCATTTTATAGTTTATACTATTTATGTATAATATAAAAATATATTTATGTATACATATGTAATCTATAAACAAATTGCAGCTTAGGCCGGTGGCCCAAGCCTGAAAAATGAAGGGTCGGGATAAAAGTAATCATCCCTAAGTAAATAGCAGTGTATTTAATGTACTACTTACTTTTAAGGCAAGATATATGAAAAATTCATAATTATATTAATGCAATTTGATCCTGGGTTAATTCAAACTCCACCTCAGCTGAAGCATTTATATCTTGTTCCAATTGGAATGCAGAGGATCTACTTTTTTTTTATTTTATTTATTCTTTTGCACTAATGGAAGGATCTGCTTTGAGAAAATAATATTATAGCAACAATTAGGTTATTAGAGGGCCTAGAGGAATAACTTTTTAAGCAAGAAAAATCTGCACAAATAGTTTGATACCTTTAGATTAGGATGTATTCACCAATACACATATATTTACTAAAACTTATCCTTTAGGAATATGGTCACATGACCTTTAGGTTTCAAATTCTAAAATTTCCCTAATTATCAACCTTATTAAAAATTAAATCCTCCTTCCACACTATAACTTGATCTAGATATGTAAAGAGTGCAGCACGTATTGGACATTTCGACCCATGCCCTTTTACATTTTCAATTCACATTAAGAGGTCACATGACCATTTCCAAACGGAAATAAGAATTGTTCAAATAGGAGTGTAATTTGGGCAGGCCTAGCCTGAGCCCAAATCGATCCAACTCAAAATTTTACATGGATTAGGCTTGAATTTTCGCTCCTCAGACTGGATTTGGGCCCAAGAAGTTGGGTTACTTTTATTTTCAGGTTAGGCCCGGGCTTAACCATTAGGTAGCCCGAATCCGTCCTGAGCCCGGCCCAACAATACAAATTCACACACACATAAGGAAGTGTCTAAATACATGACCCTTAAAAATACAAATAAAATCATGCATATTGACAAACATCTCTTAGTGGGTATCGCATCTTAAAACCTTATCTTTCCTTTTTTTTTTCCTTTTTGACAACCAAATGAAGCCCTAGTTTAATCCCACTTGTATTGACAAAGATGTTTCAAATGTAACGTTTCACCTTATACTCATTTATTTACTCAATAGGAAAAACAAAAATTCAAAAGCAGCATTCACGAATCACAATCAATTCCACCACAACGAGCCGGTGGTCCTCCACATCTACATAGATACCCTTTTAAATGTTTCTATTATTGTTTTTTGGTTGACCAAAAAACCCTTGAAAAGCAGAGGATGGGGATCATGGGATTGAATTCTAAGAAAGCAAATCTCTTCTCTATTTTTGGTAAACAACCTTGCAAGATTCCTTGAGAGCAATTTCAGTATAAATAATCTTTCATGTGGCTAGGGATTTGAATTTCCAAAGGCTAATAACTTCCTTGCAAGTTCCACCTTCCAATTTAAAGCCCTATTTTTAAACTTGAGAGTCGCATTAAAGAAAGAAAGAAAAAAAAAAATTCTAAGGGCTCTATCTCCCTCTATAAAGATGTACCTCTTAGGTGGCTATTAGTGTTATTTTTTAATGGGACTATTATTGCTTTTTGGTTGGGTGGCTGCTTTAGAATATTGACTGTGTCCCCTTCTTATGGAAGCCATCCACGAAAAGTAGACCAATATAGTTTCAAACCTGATGTAAAACCAATTTAAAAGGAAAATATCTAGCTATCAGTTGCAATTCTTTAAAACCAAGCTGGGACGACTGAATGGTCGAACCTCTGCAGAAAAATGGTAAACTAGACAGCTTTCTGGTTCAAAGTTTTGGATGGTTTTGGTGGTCTTGCTGGTTGAGACACCTAGTTAAACCAAACAGCTTCCTGGGTGTCTGCTCTAGATTTTGAGAGTTGTGGAAAAAACTCGATTTTCCTGCTGGTTTTACTTTACAACAATGTCCATGGAGCTAAAAAGGGTTCAATCAAAGTAGACCAATGTACTAATCCGAGAGTGTTGCTGTAAATCATGTTAGTGGAGGACTAGAGCTATAAAAAGGGTTCAATCTAGAAATTCACTTCTCTCATCATATACATCATCTCACATGGAGAAAAAAGAAGGATGGGTTGTTCTAATTGATTAGATTAGGCCTTTTCTCTTGTTTTATTTATACTAGTAAATTTGCATGTATTTTGTATATGGCAATTTTAGATGATGAAAATAGTAATATACATCCAAATTATTTTAAGCTTTGTATATATTTCTGTGTGTATAAAATAATTCTATATTAGAGATGTCCTAAATGTTTTCTACAAATATTTTGTATGTTTTGTGTTCATATCTTTGTTTAATTTTTATTATTTAATTATGACATCATGGCTTGACCCATTTGACCCAAATGGTTGACCTTACCCACCACCTAGACAAAAGGACAATTTCATTTTTTGGTACAATATTGAAAAAAAATGAGATTTATATTATTAAAAGTATTGGACATAGATCTAATAGCATAATTTATAGGTGACAAAATATCTTAAATATATCATTTAATGAGAGAGAATGGGCGTTATTACCTCAAATATATGACTTAATGAGAGATTGAATGAGGTGAAAAATAATAGTTCGAATTACATTTTTTATATTTCCATGTGTATAAAAATAATTCTTATTTATGACACTTGTTTTTGTTTAATATGATGAATATACAATATTAGATATGCGCCCAAATATTTTTTTGCAAAAATTTATGTTTTTTTTTCATTTTTTTGAGTTTTATCATGTTTTTAATTTTTATTATTTAATTATGACATCAAATATTGACACATTTGACCTAAAGGTTGAACTTTTGACATAGACCAAATAGGAAATCAACTTAATTTTTTTGTTGGCTTTAAAATTTGTATTTCATTTGCATTATCAATAAAAACAACTTTTGTTTATGACACTTTTTTTTCTTTAATATGATTAATATAAAATATTAGAGAAATGGCCCATTTCCTACAATTTTTATTTAACTATGACATCATGGATTCACCCAATT